AATGGAGCCTCACCTCTGTGCCTAGGAAGGTCATGGAACAAATCCTCCTGGAGGCAATGTTAAGGCACATGCAGGACAAGGAGGTGATCCAGGACAGCTAAATTTACGTACATCAGATTTCTGTTAGAAGTGTCATATGTGTATCTTCTGTCCCAGTGTTTCCCTAATGTATCTGGTTCTAACTTTGCTGCTTTCATAGTTCATTCCTAACCACTCTAATTAAACTTATCGATTGCTTTAGAGGAAAGATGTGGAGGGAATGGGAATGCCTTTTACCTTACTTCTATCTCCAGACACTGTGAACAGCTGCTCCTCAGAAATAAACTTATCCTTTTAATTACTTGCATAAAATTTAGGTCAGGTGTGACCTAGAGATGATGTTAGTTAACAATGCAACAATGGATGCTTTTGGAATCTGTATTTATGGCATTTTAGTATTGAGTGTCGCATGTCAGGAGGCTGTGCAGGAGGATCTAGTCAGCTTGCAGCTCAGTGTAAATATCTGGGCTACTACAGACTTCCCAGAAGCTGCAAAGCCTACCCAGGAATCTGGAAGCTCTCAGAGGACGAGCAAATCTTTGTCACAGGTAGACAGGAAGACCACATGTGTGTACAAAATCTATTTTGTGGTCTCTTCTCCCCTTCGTTCTACCATCTCAGGAAGTTCTGCAGAACAGTTTTCCACTTGCACTGGCCATAAGCATGACCTCCTCGCATCTTCCTCCCAGCAAAGGTTCCGTCCCACCTGGGGATACATCCAGAGCCTCACTGACACCTGTATCGTGTCTGTCCCTCTGCTTGGCACCCCCACCCAGCTGCCTGCACCCTCACAAAACAGAGGTCAGAGCAGCCAGGCTGTCCTGGCACAGGAGAGCTGGGCAGTACGCAGGGGACTGTCACAGCCCCAATGCACATGGTGACAAAATATTAGTTCCCTGATAGGTAAATCGTTACAAGGCAGGAAAAAGAACAGCTAAAGGTGGGAAGTAGGGAGAATAAAACCATTTTGCTTGGAAAAGTGAAGTCCAAAGCAGAAATGATGTATTTCAGTGATCGTATATCCCAGTTTAAAGCTAATGTATCCTCCTGGCAAAAGTTGCAGCTTAACACTGAGCCATATTATTTGATATTCTTCGACATAATAGAATACATATATTTACGCACGGCTGTAAAACTGTATTATTTTTAAAAGTTATTTCATTGAAGTGATTGACCTTTTTATGTTTCACGGCTACATTTCTTATACAGTAATAGAAAAAATGACTGTAAACCATTCTATTTTAAAGTACCTGTTCATTTAAATATTATAACCTGGATGATTAAATAAAGACCACTATGCAATATTTGAGGTTGCCAAGAAAAAAAGAAATGGTCCATAAAAAAAGAACCTGAACCTTCTGCTTAGAATTCCCCTGCTATTTGTTTGCACTTAAATTTGATTTTCTTGTTTTTAATTTTATACTCCTGGGTTTTAAAATGTTCAGCAATTATCTGATTTGTAGCTACAACTGCAGCATGTTTACTTGTAAAATGTCTTTCAAATTAAGATCATTATTTGTCCTTTTAGATTTCTCCTTAACTTTGCAACTGAACGTTCACAGCTCAACAACAAGCAGCAGTATTTTTTACATTCCAAACGGCTCTAATGCCAAAGCATTTTGCTGATTTAATGGCTGGTTTTGCAGGATAGAAAAATCCTAATAATTCTCAGCAAGCAGAAAATCAACAGCTATCATTTTTAAAATGGGATTTCTATAGCTCTGTCAAGTGCCCCATATTGTACAAAGGCAAGGCAATTCAATCCAGCATTTGATTTTTGCCTCCGGAGACGAATGCTTGAGACACCTTTTCCTGGGATCCAAAATGCCAAATAAAACACAGCCTAAAGGTGGTTGAGAGCCTTTAACATAAGACTTCTGTGCTAGGAGTGCCTGAATCACTTGGTCCCAAATATTCAGTAACACATTCAACACTTAGGAACTACTGCCAAATAGATACTTGCTATTAATGTCTCGGTTATAGCTGGGCTCAAGATCTAGCACTGAAAACCATCTTGGAAGCCCTAAGTGACCTGAGCAGCTCACCTATGCTCTAATCCAGTGGATAAAGTCTTCTCTCAAAACACAAGTGCCTTGCAACAAACCCAACTGGTGCTCACAGCGGGCGTCCTGGCAGACTGGGTATTCTCCTGCGCTATGGCAGAGCTGGGTGCTTAGCATTCAGGTTACACTGAACACAAACCATGTAGGTTTACCCTTTTCCATATAGCTGGGCTCTGACGTCTGGGCAGGCTGTTTCCATATCCCTTCTTTTTTTTCTTTTTTTTTTTCCTCCTATTTTTTCCATTTGCAGGCTCCTCGACGTTTGCACTGCAGTCGGGTGCAGCGCATGTGCCCGATGGCACCAGCCACGTCTCACTCAGCTGCCGTGGGTGCCAAAGCAGCCCTGCCATCATCACGTCGGGGTGTCAGCTAGCTGGGGTGTACCTGCACATGCTGCCATCACACCTCTGGATGGCAGTGTACACATTGGCGCGGGGAGAGGGACAGGGCGCAGCACCACGCACATATGAGCCGCAGCTGTAGGCACAAAAGCGAGCGGGCTGGCTGCGAGCGCATCTGTATGCGCAGAGGACGTGCTGCAATCCACGGTAAAAGGCAACGGTTAGGGAAAATAATTTCACCACAAAATCCCAGAATCTTAATTTTTCACTCGAGCTTCTTCCTGAGCGCTCGGGGTGTGATTGACATTCACTGCACGCAGCGGCTGCTGTGGCTACTCCGAAAGCGGTGCGGGGCTGGGGATGCAGCCGTGCACGCTGCGAGAGTTTCAATGTATTCGAGAGCCCCCACGCCAGAGCCGAAAGGGATTGCACAGGCAGTTTTCAGTACCTGGATATCTGCTCCTTTGAATGCCTCTCCCGACTGGCTAATTCCCAGGGGAAGGGTGCGTGTTTCAGCCCAGTAATGCTTTTGGCTTAGAAAAAGAGAATGCAGAAGCCTCCTTGTCGTTTTCCCAAGCAAAACTCCTTCGGAAAGGGGACTTATTATTCAACAACAGTGGGAATGCTCAGCCAAACCTCAGCCCACAACAACATCCCCCAGCGACCTGCGCTGCTGCCATGTCAGCACAAACCTGCGAGCTCAGCTTCCCCGACCTGCTGAAACGAGGGATCAGCTGCTGCACAGCAGGGCTGAGCTGCACCTGCCCCCACCATGGGGAAAGCACTCCTCTCCTGGTTCCCTTGGAGGTTTGGGGGGGTGTATGGTTCTTTTCCTGACAGAAATATCAGATATTGTACAGCTCAGACATTTTTTCCTAAGCCAACTCTGCATCTGCAACTCTTGGAAGTTTTTACAGGTCAAAGACAAGGCTGTGACATCCCTGGAGATCAACAGGGGGGATTCTTGTGCGACAAGAGGAGGCTCAGGGGTGACCTTATTGCTCTTTATAAGTACATTAAAGGAGGCTGTAGAGAGGTGGGGGTTGGCCTGTTCTCCCATGTGCCTGGTGACAGGACGAGGGGGAATGGGCTAAAGTTACGCCAGGGGAGCTTTAGGTTAGATGTTAGGAAGAATTTCTTTACTGAAAGGGTTGTGAGGCACTGGAACGGGCTGCCCAGGGAGGTGGTGGAGTCACCATCCCTGGAAGTCTTCAAAAGACGTTTAGATGTAGAGCTTAGGGATATGGTTTAGTGGGGACTGTTAGTGTTAGGTTAGAGGTTGGACTCGATGATCTTGAGGTCTCTTCCAACCTAGAAATTCTGTGATTCTGTGATTCTGATTTAAATGCACTGCCTGTTCAGAAGGAACGTGAGAGAGCCTGAAGAGCTACGTATAGGACACCACACTCCGTGTGCTGCACTTTCTGTGCTTTACAGGAGGTCTGGGGAGGCCAGCAAAGCTCCCATACACAAACCAGAGGTGTGGGGGAGAGGAATGAGGAGGGACAGGCGAAGGTAAGAAGGTATCGAGCACTGCAATAGACGGCAAGAAACCTGAAGTGGTGGGAGGATACCTTTAGTTTATCGTGTTGGGAAAAACAGGCTTGTGTCAGGTTTGGCACAAAAGGAAGGGGTAATTATATAAATATAATTATATAATAAACGTATTCAAGGCAAATGCTGTACATTTATTTAAGCCAGAGAATCTACAAGCATACCCCACGCTAAATAGCCCCAGAGGCCTTCCCTAACTGAGGGCCACCTCAGCGGTCAGCTGCTTCCACCTGGCTCCCACACATTTCTCGTGACTATTCTGGAAGCCAATCCAGCAAAGGCTCGGTGCCATCAGACATACTTCGAAAAAAAAAAATAACTCTGCTTTTAAACGGTGTTGCTAGTGCAGCTTGATGAAATGCTAGCTGTGCCCCCCCTCGCCCCACAGGCGCACACCACCTCCTGCCATCCATCCATTGGCTTGACAAAGCAGGTAGTCACACACACTCCACATGAATGCACCCGTGGCCAGGTTGCCTTGGAAACCTCCGCTGCTACCTAATATTGTTATAATTGTCAAGAAAATATAGGTTTTCTCCAATGACTCGCAGCATGCTTCCATTTTACATAAATGCAAGCTTTCCATCTGCAGCTTTTTCTAAAGGCTTGCTTTGCTTTGCCCACAGAAATTTCAGAGAAATTTCCTTCCTCGAAAAATTAAACTGTTGTTTAAACGTTAAAAATGCAATTGCATTAGTTGAGGGGGCTGCGCAGCAATTCCAGCTTCCCTGTATCTGCCAGGAGGGATTTCAACATTCAGGAAAAGGAGCTCTGCCATCCTCTAAGCTCATTTTATTCCGTGCATGGCTCTGAGGCTAAAATTCAGCTCCAACAGAAAGGTCAGCCCAAGCAGCCCCACCTCACAACCTTGCTTAGGCTGCACGCTTGCTGGAACACCTTACACCTCTCAGCGGTGGGTCCAACACGACCAGCAGAAACCCTGAGTTGCTTTATTATATGACAACTACCAGCACGTATCAAGTCTGTTACTGGATGTACTCACCCAACACGTAGTCTTGAGGGCGGCTCTGCGGAAGACCCTTGCGTGCTTGCCCAAAGGAGGTCAGTAGATGCAACAGAAAAGCTTTGGTGCGTCCCAAATTCTTGGTACCATGGTGCTGACAGATCCTAAATCCTGTGCTCCTTCAGCAGGCAGTATCCTGCAGCTACTTCTCCAGCCCAAGGACCAGCTTGCGGTGAATGGGAAGATCAAGTTCTTGTTGTCTGATGAACTGTTTTGCCTAGAGAAGAGGCAGGCGAAAATAAGACACACTGGTGCACTGCAAGCTGATAGACTCAGTAAGAAATATTTGGACAAAGCACTTGAAAAAGGCACAGCCTTAAGCCATAACCCCCAAACGAGCAACCTGAAACACTTGGTGGTGATTGAACAGAATGCCTTAAGCCAAGCTGAAATGAAATTTTGCTTGGGAAAAAAAAAAAAAAAAAAAAGTAAACCATTTCCAGTTAGCTCCAGCTGAATGTTGTGCTTCTCCTAAATAACTGGGAGATAACCTGATTTCACCCAGCTGTAATCTTGCAAGTTTGAAGTTCTCTGGCCCCCTACCAGGCGGCATGGGGATTCCTGAGCAAGTCCTGGGGCTGGATTAGCCGCAGCTGGGCCAGCTGATGGAGCACCCTGAGCACCGTCTCCTGGGACAGCTGCCCCAGCTGGGCATTGAGGCCAGGTAGCAACTACTGCTGCAGAGCTGGAAAGCTCCTCGCCCTGTCATCCTGCTGTTGGAAAAGGAGGGAACCCACCTTCAGCCGAAATCAAGCTGCACAAGAGAGGGGAGTTTTAGTAAATCAAAAGCAATGCAAGCCTCTGACATACAACTTCAGATTGTCATGTTAAAACTGCAGTAAATCAACTGTAGCAAGTCCAGGAACTATGACTTGCCCATGTACTCAGAGTTTCCATCGTGTGCCTGTGTAATACAGCTGTTCAGCTGTTTTGTTTACAGCCTCAAGCAAACCTCTTGAAACCGAACTGGCGTTTTTACATGCAAAAGCATCGACGTGCATCTTAGGAAATGAAAAAGTTCTCAACAGTTTGTTGCAATATTTTAAAAACTGTACCTGAACCTTTCTTGGGGAGACATCCTTCCAGCAAAAGATGTCTGCTTTAGCCGAATGCAATGAAGCTTCTCAAGGCAACGCTGACTGACGTTTTTCCACGTTCACCTGCACACAAGTAGGCAGAGTTTAGGAGATGCCATGGTTGCCTTAACTTGATCCAAACGGGCTGCAGCCCCATGTTTCCAAAAAGAACCCAAAGCCTACTTTTTCAATGCTCAGCCTGCATATGTGGAGTCCTATTTTTCAAAAGATCTCAGGGCTTTTCAGCAGAGGTGGCGATACAGATGCTAGGCTTTGAAAAGAGCTAACAGCTCTGGGCGAGATATTCAGGTCCCAGCATTTCCGCTCTTCAGAACACAAAGATATTTATTTTGGCTTCCAGATTAGCGTTGGCAAATTTGGCAAGTCTCCCTCAGAAAACCTTAGTAGTGATCAAGCAGAGATGCTGCAGAAGAAAATCATCTAAACTACTGGATCTGCATTTGGGATCCCAAGATACTTAGAAAAAAAAATATTATAAAATGAACACAGTAAAGGTTAGTAACTCAGCAGGTGCCACCTAGTACTCATCCTTTCGGGATACCTTGTTATTTATTAAGGACCCTACTGAAGACTTCAAAACCCAACGTAAAATATCGATGTACATACAATTGTTGCAAACGCAGCTACTCTCCAAATACAGAGAACCCTGATTTTTTATTTTTTAATTTCTTGTGCTGTGGAAAATCAGAAAGCTTTATAGCAATCTCTGAGACTATTTGTGTTCTGTTACTAATTTGAAGTACTGATGACCTGGCTTCATACAACCTGAAAGAGATTACATGAGAGTCGGGGCATTGTAGTTTTTCCTGCTGAAGATGTAAATGCTCGACTTATCAGTGAGGTTCTTTTATACTGCTATGACTGCTTTGAGTTGCTGTATTGTTGTTTAGGGGCACGACAGGATTTTTTTTTCCTTCAGGCCTTGCTCTGTGCTCGTGTTCTTTACCTTTCTGATCAGAACAAAATGCTGGTCTGATGATACACAGCAGCAGGAAAACGTTCCGATGGACCAGCTGTTTTCTTAAATGATATTGTTTTGGGAAATATGCCAGTTTAGATAGAAAAGAAACTGTCTGACATGAAATAATACGCTGAATGCTTTATCACTGTGTTTTCTTGGTCTGAATTTCTTATTTCACTCCCACTTTTGTATTCATCAGTTTGAGTCCTACATCTGATACTATATATACAACACATCTTTATTTATTGTTTTCCTTCAACCCCCTAATCACTTCAGTGATTCCAATGAGGCAATTTCACTAAACTCCATCTAAAAGCTACATTTAGGAAGCAAAAGTAGCCAAACACCAACATCTCTAGTGAAGGGCATGTAGGAATTAGGGCTTTTGTCCTGACCGGTTTTAAATAGCTAGGGAAATGTCCTATTACACTCACAAAGAGCAAGGTGGAGCTTATAACTACAAATACAAAGCATGCATTAACTTTCCTCTGTGTAATATTCTCTCCTTTTTTTTTTTTTTTTTTTTTTTTTTTGTAGTAAATGCCAGCAAGGTGCTAACCCAGGCTGGCTATGTGCTGCAGTGATTTGAGAAGAAAAGCAGCAGCCAGCTGCAGGAGGTTCTGCAGGATGGGGAGCAGAAGAAGGCTTCAAACTCAGCAGATGGCATGCACAGGCGCTGTGCCAGCCTACTGGGGCACTACCTGGTGTGCCTAAGGGATCACTTGCTGCATTTTTTATCAAGCTGAGAATGAGAGACATTTTGTTTTATGATCCTTTCTCTCCTCTATGTGATTTTGCTTTTAGCCACCAGACAACAGCAGTGCTCTTCTCCAGAGTGCAAAAGATTCAGCAATAATAGGAGTCCAGGAGAAAAAAATGAAAAAAAGGAGGAATCTGTTGTTTTTCTGTAACAACTGGTCAGCTCAAACCTGCAACCTGCCAGCCTCCTGTGATTGCTAATAGCTCTGTTTACTTGGAGCCAGACCACAGTGGCGTATTTGGACCACAAACTGGGCTGGCATCATGTAAGTGTGTAAAGAAGCAGTATTTATCATTGTCATGATTTTGTTGCTTTCCCCCACACTTGTAAGAATTGATAACAAGTGACTCGGAGACAGCACAGCTGGCCTGTGAGATGTCTCTGCATGAGCAAAGGAATGGCTCTGTTCAGAGAACAGGAGCAAGTTATTCCTCTCAATCTATAAACAAGTGCCATGATAATGGAAAAACAGCATTTGCCCTTGCACCTTTTCCCTTTGTGTGGGCTCAGGGCTTTGCCTTTCCATATGCTCCCTGGGGCAGATCTTTAGTAAGTGATCACAACTGTATGGTTTGAATGGCAGAGAAGTCCTGTGTCCCATCCCGTCCCCCCACATCTGTACATCTGGACTGTCCTGAGCGAGGGCAGAGAAGAAGGCTGGACATTTATCCTACCAACATGGCAGCCAACATGTAAGGCTCTACTATCTGCAGTTAAGTGGGTGCAGAAGTCTCTTTCACTTTGAAAATGAGGAATAAACCACGTGATACTTGCTAATAAGGACACTGGATACAAAAAAAAAAAATCCTTACAGGTTTCTTGACTGAGTCTGATGTGAAATTTACTTATGCCATAATTGACATCCATCACCCTCAGGTTGAATATGTGGACAAATAAATAAACAACCCTCTTCTCCTTCCTTTTGTGGTTCAATCAATGTAGCATTTTTCCCTCCCTTTTTATTCAGGTGTAACATAGGACACCAACAAAACCACCCTCTACTCAAATCCAGCTCAGCAAGAGTAAATCTTTTCTCCTGGGAAGCTTTGCAGCAAAGCAATAGAGAATTTCGCTGCAAGTCTAAGGTAAATTGACTCAAGCTGCCTCAGAGACACTTACCTAAATCACCCTTCTTGTAGTGCAGGCACAACTATCCTTCATTTTCACAAGCACTAAAAATAAAACAGAACCACTGAATTCATTTCTTCCCAAATAAAGAGATGTTGGAAAGCAAACTCAAGTTAACCACTTGAAAAATACTTTTGTAGTGTTGTAATTCAAAATAAAAAGGAAAAGAAAAAAAAAAAGGAAAAGAAAGATTTAATATTGAATTGCATTGGCCAATAATCTGATAATCAGTCCATTGAAGTTCTTTGTGAATAATACCCTCCTACATAATGGCAGCCCACATACATTACCTTGACACTGTGCAGTAAGTGGGTCTTTGCCCTCTCATTACAAAATAAAACATATAGTATTTTAATGTAAAGGGTAATTTCAGGTTTGATAACATCAGGCAGTTAGTAGCTACATTCTAATACTACAACAGTATCATTCAGGTTTCCTCTCTTGAAAAAAAAAAAAAAAGAAATCTTTTTGTCACGCAAGGCAATATAAGTTGTTTCAATGCTTTTGTGAGAAAAATGATACAGACATTAAGTTAGAGGCATGAAAGATTACCCGTGTTCAACTTTAAAACCAGGCACATCCAAAATATTCTCTTTCAATTTGCATTTCTTTTGATCCACTAGACTTTGGCTGAGACAAGAGAGGAAATTAAGTCAAAGACAGATTCCCTTCCAATTAAAATCTAGTAGGGACAGGAGGATTAATCTTCTGTCCTGCTTTGTCCAGGCTGTGTGCCCTGTGGCTGCTGGGTGCAGTGCTGTGGGGTGATGAATTGCACCCACAGACTCACATGGAAAGAGAGTGGCCCTCAAGGTCACAGAGTTGATCGTGGCTGCTGTGTGCAGGTCCCCAGGGGTGAATTTCTCTCGGTCATCACCCTGCTTTTGCTCAAAAGCCCTCATCCCAAACAAACAGACATAGAAAAGATATGCCCAGATATTTTGGGCTTTGCACTTTGCTGAAAGGGTCAATGGGGGGGGTGGGGGGGGAAGGAGCTTCTGCAAACACTTCCCTTTGAGTGGGAACTCCTGGTGCATCTGCCAGTGCCAGCAGGCTGTGGGGTGAGGAGCTCCGAGCCTTCATCATCTCCCCCCAGCATCCAGGCTGAGTGCATCACTTCCTATCAGCATTATTAACTGATTTGGGGTGGTAGGACTCAAAGTTAGGGATGGTTTATCAACAGAGACCACTCCACAGAGTGTGACACACTGCATCCCACCCTCCTCTTTGCAAAAACAAGCCTATTGTCTTCTGCTGAAGCCAAGAAGGGGTTAAGCTGCCTGTGCAGCTGATACATGGTAGGATTTAAAGCTGTCAGCAGTAAAGCCCACATCATTCATGTGTGTATGTACATTAGGGTTTAAATATGGATGCCAAAAATGAAAATGCAGCTTACTGAAGAAAGGAAGAACATATTTCCTAATATAGATCAATTTTCCCATTTCTGGAAGAAAATGGTTGAATTAGCAGCACCTGCAAAGGCAGAAAAACAAGAAAAGTAAAAGAATCATGGATAATTAATACTCTGAAGGCAAAGACATCTTTTATGGAAAAACATAATGGGCCAGAAATTCAGCTGCTGTATATTAGCTGATTTACATCAGCTGAGGAATGTGGTTCAGTATGATTTAACAGTTTCCTTATGTTACCTGGGAGATACGTGCTTCAAAATATACAGAGAGCTTAACATGCATTGTCTGTCATGTTTTGTTGATTAATAAATTCAGATATTGTTGCTATTATTTAATATAGAGAGTCATTACACAGTAAATTAGAATACAACAAAACATTAAGTGCAGCAAAGCATTACTTAAGCATAATCTCTTAAAACCAAAGCAAATGAAGCGAATCAATTTTAAAGGTCATTAAGGGTAGCTGAAGTCCTAAGATTGAAATTACCAAATTATCTCAGGTTCCAGGTTGCTTCTAGGACAGTCAGTGGACAGGGCAGAGATAGAGGCAGCGTTTCCATTTTTTCTTCCACAGGACACTCTGCACCTCTCTGTCGGGACCCTATTATGGTTGTACTCTTTAGGTGGAATGGGCTGGGAAGTTTCTGGCCCTGGTTTTCTAGAGGCATGAGTTTGCATGGTTGCACTATGAATGTCTGAGACAGAAATCTCCAAGATGAGTCCCAGCAAGCTGTGAAAATTGGGGTACGTGGAAGGTTCTTGAGGTCCCTCATGATGTGTGTCCTGCCAGGTGGCTGAGCGGGACAGGGCAGCCCAGAACGAGCCTCAAACCATGCTGTCTCCAAGCCTGGGCATCCATTAGCAGATGGCAGAGGGATGGACTCAGGGACAGGGAGCTGATGATGAGGGAGAAAGGAGGCCAGGTTGATGAGGGCAAATTGGAACAAGTGGCTGGAGGGGAGAGGGAGGTAGTGGAGAGAATCCCCTTTAGCACTGAGAAACATTAACAGCTGGATTCTTCCAAATAAAGAAGTGGCGGGGTAACTGAAACATTCTCCCCTATTGCATTTTCCTCAGCAGGCCAGTGGCTTGCAAGAGAGACAGCTGCAAGTTGGCCAAATTTCCTTGGAGTACCCTATTTTGCCTTCAGGGCAATGTTTCCCCAGAGCCAGGGTGGCAGCTGGGGAATTAGGGTCCAGCCTTAATGCTGCTTCTTCCAAAAGCAGGAATCAAAACACTCCTCTGCAAAACAGCAACAGACTGAAAGCTCACACCCCACATCACAAAGATCACTGCGGGAAAGGAAAACACTTCGAAATGTAAAGTGCATCCCAGACGAATCTTACCAATGCAGGCAATATAATCCCTCTGTAAATGAGTTCTCCCGATGTGAAACATACAGCTGCCAAAACAATTCATCTCACTAAAAGGACTGTTATTTTTTTATTGACTAAATGGCTAAAATAAAGGATACATGTGCCCTCTTTTGCATCAAGCACAGATACAAAGGATCACGGGCTATTGAACAAGGGCCGTGTTCTGCCCTGCGATGTGGAAGCTTGACGCAGCTTTTGAAAGGAGGGGTTGCTGCAGATTTCAAAGGGCCATCAATTGCCAGTTTGTTTTGCAAGCAAACTTTCCCCCATTAACTGCTGCAGTTACAGCTGCTCCCTTCCAAAAGCCAGCAACGACTGCTTCTGTAGGAGTCCGTGCTTTATAGCAACATCATCAGGAAAATGCACATCCTGAAATTTTCCCACTGCGCTCAGGCACAAGTCCTCTCTACCTCCCTTTCATAGAAGAAGGGCCATGCGCTAAAAGGAGGAGGAAACACACCTGAGGTACGTAGCCCAGTCTGTCAAGGGGGACACAACCAGACACAAAACTTTCATTAAACACTGGGGAACAGAAGAGCATTTGGCTGAGCATCCAATATAAACCCCTTTGATTTCCTACATTTGCTTGATGGCTCGGAGGAAGCTATGATAAATAAAAGGTTCAGCTTCAGTTCAGTAAAATCAATGTCTAAAATCCTCATTTTATGGCTCGGAGTGCCAACTAAAGATGTGGTGAATACCTGCTGGCTCCTGCCTGTGTGCACGCTCTCAGGAGCTTGCAGTCATTTGCCGTGTTCTGGCATCTCAGGGCCACCACTCATACAGTGTCCTGTGGACTGGACTTCTGCCCTTGGTGAAGATGACCCAGAACAACAAACTCTTGTTTGTGAAGATCGTGGTGGGTAGGCTCAGAAAACATTCTGGGTACTTCACTGCAGTGAGAATCAGTAAGACTGAAAAAGGTAGGATGGCTTGGCAAAGAAATTCCTTACAGCACAGGAGAAAATAGGCTTGTGGTTTGCATGTGCAATAGGCAATGGACCTAGCTTTACATAGCTTTCTGCAGCAGTACAGCTTTCCAGGCGGTGATTTCCATGTCTTTCAGAACCTCTAGGAACATAATGGAAAAGGACCTTCTGCCAGGCTTTAAGCTAAGATTAAAACATGGGCCATCGGTGAACAGAAAACGTTTGCTTATGCCTGGATCACAGACGAATTTCTGCAGTGGCACTTTCTTCTAATGCAGTAGGACTTGGATGCACTTTTTTTCTAGGATACTACAGGCACTTCCCAATGCAAACCACAGTGGGTTCCCTCTTCCCGCTGGCATTTGACAAACAGCGTCTTTAAGAGGTGAAAATTTCTTTGAAGGGAGAACTGAATCCCAACCTTTTGTGCACACCCAAGACAGAACAGCACCTACAGGTACTGAGCACGTCATCCAGCTAAGTGAGGCTCTCGTACACTACAGACTGCAATACACACATATGCCAGTACGTACACAAGCAATTTACTAAAATCAACGTATCCAAATGATCACATTTTCATGCTTTCTGAGCTGAATTCTCAAGTTCCTATTGAATCTGGGAAAGACACAGGGAGATCAGGCCACAGGAAGAAGTGGACTTCTAATTACCTTACACAGTGGTGTCAAAGGTTCAGAGGGGAGGCTAAACAATCACCTGCCTGCCTCCCTCCCTCCTCAATAAGCCTGCCAAATCGTGATATGAACAGTGGCTGGAATATGATGCCAGTGCACATCTTCACTGTGGATTACAGCAGATTTGAAAAGCCCAGGAGCTACCTTGAACCTAATTCCCCCACAAAGGGTAGTACCTGCTTTAGCCAGCAAGAAAAGCTGAATGCAAAAATAATTAGAGATAACATAAAATGGCTTCTCCCTGTGAACAGCAGGACAACTTGCACAGCCAGTAGAGCTGCATGACTAATTGATTCGGGGGGGTTGCTGGCAATCTAAAAATCAAACACACCCAACAGGTTGTTTTTTTGGAGTTCAACAGAGTTAACGTAACCTGCTACCCCACAAGCTCCACTCTGGCTTCCCCATGGTCTAATATAGCATGAACTTGGAAGTTCTCCCCTCAACAGGGTATTTCTTTTCTATCTGGACACTCATTTTCACAAAATTCACAGAAGCACCTGTAAGACTTCAAGGTTACACCCATACAGTAAGTAATGAAGTGTATAATTAAGGGGGGACAGACAGACACATACATTCACATAAATGTGGGACAAGATGGGGCCAGTAAGTGTCAGGGTCATCTCTGTACACAGAGTGTATTTTTATATAGTCTTCATTGGTACCAGGAAGCAAAACTGAATCACTACATTGCCAGACACATGTTTTAAGCTTGCATGCCCCAAACCTCCCAACATTTGAGCACCAGAACTCCTTCCTTCCTTCCTTCCATCCATCCATCTATCCATCCCATGTAGTAAGGGTTAAATTCCCTTGAGGAAAAAATTACCCTGACACTGTCCTGCTGCATCACCTCTGTATCTCCTAAACAGAATTGCTGTCTCCTTAGAGGAATAAATGAGAGAGTTAGGGGAACAGGGGAAGAAAACGTTATCCTTTGCATCAAAGCATCATTGGTTAAATACCATCCCATCCTTTCTGAGCACAGCAACTGTAGACACTAGCGGACAATAGCTGATTGTGTCACAGCATTTTAGGATAGTTTCCCATATACTGTGCTGTTCTGGTGGTCTACTGGTCACAAGAAAAAAAAAAAAAAAAGATTTTTTTTCATAAGAGGGACAGAGATGGGAAACGTGACTTCTTTATTTTTCCCCTGAAAGCACTATGAAACAGGCTTTCTGTTTATTTATCGGTTTACAAGTGGAGCCCCTTCCTAAAACAGCCGATCTCTCCAGTTATTATGGCATTTGTCATAATAGCAAGTTTTCATGGCGAGAGGATATTATTACAAGAGCTGCTTAGACAGAGTGGAGCATACAGACACAGAAATACAAAATGTCATTACTTGCTCATTACAAGAGAAAGCTGTTGCACAGAGACTGGTGTTCAGCCACCCTCCTGCAAGGTGCAAACTTGCAAGAAAAAAAAAAAAACACACAAAAGTCCCTTGGTTGGGACAATGACTGTTCAAAGATGATGAGATATCACCAGTTCTGTAGCTACAACACTGATATTTCCAGAGAGAATGCAGGCTTTATACGAATTTTTATGGCAGCCATTCCTTTTCTCCCTGCTATACAAATTTCCAGTGTCTAATCCAACCACAGTTTAATGTAAGGATGAATTACCTTCTTCCTTGGAACAAAAGAACTTGGGCCAAAAAAATCAATACCCTGAATGCCCTCTGCATCTGTGCTTTGAAGAATAGTATCACTTTTATCTCAGTAAGACACAAACACGCGCAACTATCTTCTGTTTTGTGATGAACTTTGCAGAGAGACGGAACAACATGTTCTTCCCTTCCTAGGGACATGCATGACATTTATTCCTCATTTCTGGGCCTGGCAAAGAATTCAAGTAGCTACTTCACAGAAATGAACCATTACAGCTATAACAGCTCAGTCCATGGCCATGGAATGGCACAACCTCTGACCATGTTCAAGAGCACAGCTAAAGACATATGGATAAGGCAGGCTTTTTAACAAGAGCAGCAAAGAAATAAGTTAGCGATTAGATTTTATACATGCAAAAGTTTTTTTTCCAAATAAGTTCAGCCCAAGAAAAAAAAAAAAAAAAAGATGTCACTACCCTTAGGAGGGCTGAAAAGAAAGGCTGAATGGGGAGGAAAAAAAGGCTGGTGACAAGGGATCTTGAGACACTGCACAGCTGCTAAACTTTCTTTACTTGCAGTGTGAAATGTCATAATGCAAGTGGGAGCCACATTCAGCCATCAATATTTATAAATCCCCAAAACTACCAACTTGCTTTTGAGAGCAGATTTTTGTATACCGTGCAACTCCAGCAGACTGAAAGAAAAGCTCGATACCAAACTAATGAAAAATGAGATGAAGTTAATACACTGTAAGCCCTGGTAAAATCTGTTTATCCTATTTATTCATTGCCTTGTTGATCTGGAACCTTTAAAGAAGAAATCTGGCTATTCACAATTATTGCTTAATTAATCCTCAAAAGGTCTATGAATAATGAGACAAAAATAACATCGCCCATTGTAGAAAGAAGGAATATAAATAGAGATGAAATATTTTGTCTGAAGCAGTACTTATAGAACAAATATCCCCACTTCTCCTTTAGCAAATGTAACAAATCTCTTCCTTAAAAAATGAAAAGGCTGCAAGCATAAACAAGCCGATCATATTCTATTCTGAGATAAAAAGCACTCTTGTTTATGCAAAATACCTTCACTTGTAGCAGCTGCTTGTCATCTCCCATGGCCAGGCCATAGCCTGGGCAGTGATATACTGAGATGAAGCTCAGTGTCTCCTTGTTCATGGAAGCTACTCAATGCAGGACCTGTCCTCTTCTTGTGCAGTACTGAATTCATCATTCTCATTCATTTGCCTAGCAAGGCAACACTTTAATGCCTGTTTCAAAATGAGGGAACATAAACAAAGAGTGATTAAGTGTGCCTGCCATTACTGCAGGAAAAGTCATGCAGAAAAGATATTGAGGGAACAGATCTCATTTCACCAGCTTACTAGAAAAAAAAATGAACTCACCAGTTCTCTAGGTGAAACTTTTAGGTGAAAATTTTCTAGAAGAACACTTGGAGAGTAATACAAAATATCAAAAATCAGGGCTTGAATGAATGACCATACAGCTGAAACACTATAGTGTCCAGCTAATGCTACATCCTGTCTCATCTTGGCTTCATACACTTTTATATGGTGTGAGTCTTGGTCTGGAAAAATCTCATTTACACACATCACATACTAACTCCTGAAAACGGAGCCTGGAGGACTGATGTTTCAGCCAGGAATTACTATAAAACCTACTAGAGATTCCCAAAGCAAAGCAGGCAGTCTCAGGTTGGCAAAAATGTGTTTTTGTGCTTGAAAGAAAAGAGTCTATCGCAGCGGTCATCAGCACACTTAATTTCTTTGCTTGCAAAAATATATTGCCTCATTTCAGGAAAGATCCCAAGCTATTCAGTGCTGATTAAAGTTTTGAAGGAACCCCCTTGTTCTCAACTAAGAATAAGCCCATGTAGTACAGGCTACCCACACATGAGAAAGAGAAGTGAAATTTGCTGTAACCTTCTGAAGAACATGGTGATATATTTACCTAGAAATTCTCCATCAATGCTCTTCTTCTGCCTTGTCTAACATCATCGCACATGTGAACTCCTCTTGTAAGGCTACCATGAAGTGAAGCAGAGTGATCCCTAGTGAGAAAAGAATCTGCAGTTGAAAAAAAAAAAATAGGAGTACTTTATCTCTCTGAGACAACAGACAGTGAGCACTGCCCAGCAAACTGGGCACACAAACTTTAGCTCTTCTCATCCTTTGGTTTTCCTAGAAAAGCAAAGAGTCCAGCACATTTCTGTGTTTTACATAGAATACTGCTCTTCACACAGGACATGCCAATGGAAAAGCTCCTATGTTGCTGAATTAACACATAGCACAAATACGTACACACATACATAGATATAGATACAGATATTATTTCCCCACAAGACAAGGCCATATGAACTGCAAAAAGGAACAGAGCCAGCAACGTTTCCACCCAGGGCACCATGGCAGTACCATGGAACAACACACCTCCTTGTGCGGATGCACAAGTGGCCACTCGGATGGGCTACACAACTGGCTAACGTGTTTATATCCAGAGGGAGGAACTGAACTGCTTTGCTGCTAAAGATCCCCACATTTGAAGCCCACTCCACCGACCAGTGAGCATCACCCAAGTAAACTCCCAGTACATGGTATATCAAGCACTGATAACTGGATTTGGTGATTCCAGGTGAAAGCTGAGAATTAGCTCAAAACAAAACAAACCAAACAAACAAAATTTTTGACTGTGCTTCCTGATTTACTTCTCCATCTTTCCGAAGCAAGTCTCTTTCAGAAACAACAGATGTGCTATCCACTGCTGGGGGTTCAAATCTGCATCCAAGCCAGGAGCAAAGATCTCAGGAGCAGAACATCTGCCAGGTGTGATCAGACAGGCCCCAGAGACACTGCCTCTGCTCAGAGCTGGTTCTGCAAAAGCTTACATGATTCAGGCACTGCCACTCTGTATAAACCAAATGCCCTGACCACACACATGCCCTGAGTACTCCGGAAGGCTGGCCAGCTACCAAAAAAGCTGTCAGTGTGACAACAGACTGTTTAGTTATAGAATCACAGAATATCCCAACTGGGAAGGAACCCACAAGGATCATCGAGTCCAACCCCTGGCTCCACACAGCTCTACCCCAAAATTCAGAGCTATGACTAAGAGCACAGTCCAAACGCTCCTTAAACTCCGACAGGCTCGGTGCCGTGACTGCGTCCCTGGGGAGCCTGTTGCAGTGCGCGACAGCCCTCTCAGTGAAGAACCTCTTCCTGCTGTCCAGCCTGACCCTCCCCTGTCACAGCCTGACCCCATGCCCTCGGGTCCTGTCACTGGATAGCACTACAGAGAACAGATCGGCGCCTGCCCCTCCACTGCCCCTCGTGAGGAAGCTGTAGGCCGCCATGAGGCCTCCCCTCAGCCTCCTCTTTCCAGGCTGAACAGGCCCAGTGCCCTCAGCCGCTCCTCCTACGTCTTCCCCTCTAGGAACTTCACCATCTTTGCAGCCCTAAGCCCTTTGTAATTTTTTTCTTTGACACCAGGGTGTGGGCCCTCAGGAATACAGGTGTTCTTCAGCTGTACCTTTTGCTGTAGCTCCTATTGCCTCATAGTTTTCAGACAGTGCATTCTCCCCCTTTATGGGCTGAATTGTCCCAATGCCCCATCAGAGAAAAGGGCTGCCCCGCGGTTCTCTGCATCCACACTCAAAGTGGTTCAAATGCCAAAGTGGGAGAACATTCCTTATTCTGAGATAAAAATAACAGGCAGTGGACAGACTGGAGACAAAATAAGACATGAACCACATCTGCCTTCTTAAGGCCTGTCATCTTGTAGTGAAAAACAAAGCCAGCAGGTTTGTTTGTTTTTTCTTTTCCTACTGCATTGGTGCACTTCCCTTTATAAGTAATCCCTGCTCTCTCTCTTCATGCACTCACGTTTCCTCTCGCTATGAATGGAAGGGCTTTCAGCATTTTAATTCAGCAAGAGAAGAAAGGTTGCAATCATTAAAAACCCACCCACAAATAGCCAAACACCCAGGACCACCCTACTCAAACCTGGTGTGTAGAAATGAGCCTGTCTGTCATGAAGCAACTGAAGGTTTGAGCCTTATTCCCTTCAGACTATTGACAAAAACAAACCCAGGCGGGATCAGGCTGTCAAACAAAAAGGCCACTCTTTCAACCCAGATATTTAAACCAGATAAAAAATAAATATTGAGCTTGGCTGAATGCTTTCAGGGCTTTAAGACAAGTAATGACCATGCTGTCTGGCATTAAACTATGTGACACAATGAAGAGTCAGAGGCCTAAGCAGATTTGCAACAAGGGCAGTATGGATTAAGATGTAAAGGGAATTCAGTCCCAAAACGTCCTAGTACAACTCCAGCTCCCTTGGTTGGAGTGGAAAAGAGGGAGTGCTCTATGCCCTGCAGTTAAAGTAAAGCAGCTTTTCTGTGCTTCAGTCTGCAGCCAGGGATCAATGAGCTGGACGGGATCTCCTTAGGAGCTGTGCTTTAGGGATCAGGTGCCAGAGTCTGTGAACACCACACCGAGTCTGTGAAATTCTCTGCAGCTAGAATTGCTGAAACTCCTGTGATGAAGAGCTAAGCAAATACCAAAGTGATTAAATGAGTTGCCCCAGGGAGAAGACTTTCAAGGAAGCATCAAATGGGAACACTAGACAGTACATGCTTCCCTCAGTCTTAGCAGCGCCTTTTAGGTCAGTATTTTCTTCTCTTGGTGCCTGTGACACATTCAGCCCCCGAAAGCTCCTAACATTTCATAGAGAAGTGTGCAAGAGAAAATTGCTCTTGGTCTATCCCTTTTGAGGCCAGTCTGCCTTGTTCTCCCAGTTGCCCTTAGACTTCCTCCATCTCTTGTCATCCTCCAGAACTTTGTGTTCCAACACAGCCCTTCCCATTACAGCCAGAACACTGCACTGGCAGATGATAAATGAAGATAACTAACTGTCCTGCTGGAATACAGGAAGCTCAGGTATGTTTTCCCCCATAAAGAGTAAACTTTTTATGAATGAGCTCAGAGTAAATCAGGTGTTTCTTACCATCTGCCTTAAACACCACCCGAGTGTAGAATTAGCGAAGAAATGTAGGTTGGACTATATGATCTTAAGAGGTCTTTTCCAGCCTGAATGATTCTATGATTAAACCAGTTTCTTTCCAGACAGCTGAGCAATTCAAGTCCAGACCTGACACTGTTGAACAGTATCCAAGCAAGCAGCAACACTCAGACTAGTCAATAAAAAGCACTGCTAACAGCCGCTCTTCTCCTCCAAGCCAAGTGGTGCCACATTGCTGCCGAGCATGTATTTTGCAGCCTAGGATTATCTCAATAAAACACACACATTTCTCGGTTAAAAAATGCGGTCCCCAGCAAGGCTTAGCACAGATCTCATGGAGCTGCGTTCAACACTGGTACGAGCTCAGTGCTGGGCAGGTCTTGTATGAAGCCAATTGCTACACCCAGCTGTGTCTCAGTGCCCCCAAACCAAAACTCAAATACTCAACTAATTAGCAGTACACTAGTGCTTTTATACATCCCCTGCAACCAGCAGGATAAAAAATAAATAAGTTGTTAGCCTCTCCTAAAGGCTTCCAGACTATTTATTTATAGACTCATTTATAGGTGCCCTTCACAGAAGCATCTGACCTTTTCATAATGATTACTGAACCTCTCCCATAAAGTCTGTGCATAATGAGACAGCATTATAGTGCCCATTTTAAAGAGATGAGAACATGGACTGAAAGCAAGTAAATGAAATAATCTGGTTGCGGAAGCAATCTGTTCCACAGACACATGCCAAACAGAGATGCTATTGCTCTATCACATCTTCTTTAAAGAAGGCCCAGACTGCTCCTCTGCTGCTGGAAGGACTTTGCAAGAGTGGAGCAGCTACAGGTTGGTATTGGACCCAGAAACATCAAGAATAAAGGTGCTCACAGTCAAAGCATCCCTCCAGACACCTGCAGCACCTTCTGATTACTCTATCTCTGCATGGAACCTGTGAGAGACAAAACCACCACGTTTTGAGGGTAGCTTTCCTTCTGGTCTCCTAAGCTGCCATTGGTGCATGTCTCAAGGCGGACAAGGATTTCCTTCTGCCTGGAAATTAACACATGTTAGAGTGTTAGAGTAAAACTTCATTTCAGCCCTTCAGGATACCCCCTCGATCAGCCCCTGCCTCTATATCGCTAGCAGGAGCCCAGAAGGATTACTCTTGCCATGTAAGCACCAGGGATTAAATCCTGGGCATACCTTACCAATACTGCACCACCCACAATATTTACCTTTCATTTGCTGCCAGTGAGATGCAGGTTGTTATACCTTTACTTGTCTAGCAGTACTGACCATCAATTCAATTCCTTTTTGTGCTACCACGCTGCAAAGTTTCCAGACTGTCTTTCACAAGACAAGATGCCATCTCGTCACCAAAGCAAATAGAAAAATTTCTTGCTAGGGCTGCATCTGAGGGATGAACCAAAGCTCTCTGCTGCTAGACAGCTAACAATTTGAAGCCTGCATCCCAGAGCATGGAGAATCACCTGATGACACCAAAGACACATGGTAACTCACTGAATTTCATTACCAGAAGAGAGACACCAAAGATCAGATGCAAATCAAGCACAGCGACATCCTAGCTTTCTGCTGTTTTGCTGCAGAAGCAGCTGATATCTCTGCTAAAAGATGTACGATAAAATAAAAAGAACATAAGGAACTCCCACCCCACTTCTGCCTAAGCCCTTCCCAGGTTGACGTTTATGCCAGGGTACTGGCAATCCCAGAAAAGCACATCAGGCAGCTTGTAGGCAAACTCTTTTTTTAGGAAGGATTTCATGACCCCATGGGAAGCTACAGCTCTGTCCCTGTGCAGAGCGTACAAGTTATTAATGAATATCTAACTTTCAAAGGAAAGAACAAGAAGAGTACATGTGCTGTGTACCAAACTAAGAAACAAATGGCTTTTTAAGTATGTCTAGGTGATCACAAGCCGATGAATTAGCAGTTTTTAAAGGACATCTTCTGAGACTGCCATGCTTTACCTAAAAAGAGCCTATCACATGTGCCCCAGATAGCAAATGAAGCAAACTCACGGTGATACTGACAAAAAC